GTTTAGAGATATTTGCATGTTAAGTAACAGGAAGTGATGTCAAAGTGGAATGTTTGCATGTGAATATTTAACAAATAAATAAATGTTAACTTTTTTAAATATTTCAGATGCATTACAGTCATCCTTTTTACAACGTATTCACATTTTTAAGAATTCTGAAAGATTGATTTAAGACATTTTAAGGCTAATTAAGGCCTTATTTTTGGATTGATGAATTCAATGACTTTTAAGACTTTTTAAGGATCTGCAGGAACCCTGATTTGTCTGTATATTTGAGCTTTAGATTCGTATTTTGTACTCACTACTAAGTAAAGCTTGGTAAAATAATCTAATCAATCTTGGATAGAGTTTACATACATTTGGGAACATCAATTCTTTATTATTAATTATAGGGCCTGAGCTTGATATTCCCCCATGACGTTAACATCAATAATCCTGTATGTAAAGGTGTGTTTGTGTCACTCCTGGCTTGCCATATATTTACATCAGTGCTGGCAAAAATCACACCAAATGAAAAATGTGAGAAAATCATCTTTTCTCAGCAAATAGGACATCCAGGAACTAAAAAATGATTATACTTGCTGACATTTAGTATGTTGCCCAACTTTTTTCAGATAATTCAATAGCTTACTCTGAGAAAATGGCTTAAAAAAAGTCAAAAATTACTATCCAAAAAAGCTCAAAAAAGTAGACTTTTTTTACATCTCCACAATAGACCTTTTGATGAAACTCTTTGAAACTTTGCAATACACAAATGTTTTTTTCTATTATAGGATTTTTTTAATCAAAAAAAATTCCCATAATAAAAAAAATTGACAAGCCATTATTTGACCATTTTGCCTTTTTTCCCCTCAAACATATGACACTTTCCTCTTAATCACACTACTGTTACAGTGTACAAATGTGACTGTATGAAGTGCTAACCACTCAGAACACTGGATGCAAAGGAAAGACAAAAATAACGTACTGAAGACCTTACAATGCAGAATTTGAGATTTGACACCATTTATTTATCAGAGAYCTGAAAAGTGGGAATGGACACGTCAGCAGCTTATGTGCTTAAATTCAACGAATAAAATCAAAATCAACCTTTTTTGCACTAAACTGTTTAAATTACGCCTTAAGGATAATATCTTTATATTTCTGAGCTAATTTTGATCATTTTGTTCTACTCTAATATTTGGTCTAAAACTGTTTTAGTGTTGCTCTCTATGGGTTGAATGGTGGTACTGCAGTTGAATTTTTTCTTTGTTAAAACAGTTCAGTACATGCTTTGTTCACAGCTCCTGTGTTCAGGTAGAAAAGGCTCTGAGAGACACGAGCTCTGTGATTCAGGTTTTACTGTTTGAACATGATGCCAACGACACCAACACTCAGAAAATGTCCATCACCCTGCAGCACCAGCTTCATGCATCACTGAGTCAGGACCATGAGCCAATCAAATTTAATTACTATACCAGTTGTGTTTGATTTATGTCATTTAAGCTACAATTGCTTGCATGTGTTTGAGGTTTGAAGGTGCATTAAACAAAAGAACTGTCACTGAATCATTTAACCATCACAGAAAAATCTAAATGCTGTAAATCCATTTTTATGAATTGGAAAACTGAATGTTGTGTTTTATGTTAAAATTTGGATAATCAAAATATGTCATGTAAATGTTCGGTTTGCACACTGAGTTTTGTGAAGTTTATTTATTAGTAAAAGTAAATTCATGTTTTTAATAAGACTTATAGTAATAAATGATGGCTAAGGACAGGTTTCAACATCCCAAAGAGCAGCAGCACAAAATAAACAAGGTAGAACTCGAAGCCAAAGCATCGACTGGTATGTCTCCATCTGCATTTAAAGCACTGGGCATGCAGTTACCTGTTCATATCTATTTTTGGACTTAAATAATCTAATTAGTATGTAACTATACCAGGGTATATATAGGCCTGTCACGATAACAAATTTTGCTGGGCGATTAATTGTCTCAAAATTTATTGCGATAAACGATAATATTGCCTGGTGACC